ACAGACTGACGAAGAAGATGAAAAAGAGGACAGGTTTCGAAAGTAAAAAGTTTCTTTTTAATAGGATATAGGTGACAAACGTACGTTTCCCTAGGGGTTTTCATCCGCGTACGACCTCTCTGTGGAGTAGATTACCACTGGCAATTTTCTGGACTGATACGACTTAGGGACTGTCAAGAAAAGCGCCCACGCCTTTCTAAAAGACCGGCAACGCACCTGCAACTCTCCTGGTGTTGCAGTTATTCATGAGCGGCAGTAGTCCCTTACCATCGGGAAAGCCGTATGCACATTTGCCCCCTTATATATAAAAAATAAACGAACACACAGTCTACCAGATGGAAAGTTGTTGCTGTGGCCCATAGACATCTACATTTAGTTTCGATTACGAATCAAAATTTACATGCGTTGTCACCCGCGAAGAATAAAATGGAATGCCTCGTTTCCACTAAAAAGGGTCTAAATGCCATCTGCCATTTCACTTTTGTCATAAACAGCTGCTAGTACAAGTATTTTCAGTTTATTTGAAACTTCATTTAAGGGATATTAACATAATTAATAGCGTTGTTAATATTCTTTTTTTTTAAATCATGAAGTGTCTTAAAAATATTTTGAAAACGAAATACGGACACTCGCTAAAAATGAAAAAAACAAAAATACTAGTGAGATTTTTAGACCTGATTTCATAACTACTTATTCGTAAATATTAAATAGTGCTTTTGATTTTGAATAATATGTTACAAGATACAGTCGCCAAATACTTACGAGTTACTGTCGGACCCATAGCATCGACGTCTCCAGTGTCTCCGGTACGCCAAGCGTTCATTGTGGTATAATATTATTAAATATTTATACAAAAAAAATATTTTCTTTAACTGTAATATTGTAATTTATGTTTTCATCTTTCCTTTGCTTAATATACTATTCTCGAATGTATTTCGGCTTACGAAAACCGAGAATCAGTCATGTTTTTCGTCGATTTCAGTTAAATTTACAGAATGTGTGTTCGGTTTGATAGCATTCGAGCCACTGAAAGCTTGCGTCGTACAGCTGAAATGTAAATTTTATTATGTCCACAATATTAGTGTTTGTGGGATAGTTCATAATACAATAATATCACTTTTGATTTTAAGCAAGCTGTCGGACTTTCCCATTCATTAACCTTCATGTCGAATAGCATTAACTTGATAATAAAAATACTTTTAAATAATAAGTCATTTACAATAGTAATTTACAAAGTCTTGAGTAAACGTAAAATTTCATTATTTGGTGTCTTATATTTTTTTTTTATATAAAACGTTACCCCCACACTAGGATTTTCTCCTGTGTCGTGGAGGCAGTTTACAAACATAAATTGCACAGGGACAAACATCCAGACCCGGAACAATTATTTGTAGGCCATACAAATACTTGTTCCGTGCGGGATTCGAACCCGCGGCCCCCAGCGCAACAACTGATTGCTAAGCCACTGCGCCACGGAGCCGTCATATATAGAAGTTTGTTAGGTGGTAGAGCCTGCATGGCTCTATTAGCTATATTAGTAGTATAGTTGTAGCACGAATGGGTCGGCTCGACCGGGGAAGGACCACGCTCTCACAGAATACCAGCGTAAAATAGCAGCTTAACACTGTTGTGTTTCGTATGGTGAGTGTAGAGAACCGGCGACTCTTTTTACTAGAAAAGAGACATTCCATCTTAGTCCTCACGGGTGACAACGCATCTGCATTTTAAGTCTTTATTGAGGACAGATGTAGATGTCTGTGGGTCACAGCAACCACTTACCATCAGGTGGACTGTGTGCTCGTTTGTCACTCTATCCTATGAAAGAAAAGTCTATTTTAGGATCATAGAGGACTTGAAGATCTTTTCATTCATGCATTATAGCCTATCAAAGTGAACCTATCAGCTGAACATAGGCCTCCTATAGATTGTCTCATAAACGCTAAGGTTGTCACGCTTGGCAGGTAGGTTAGCAGCCGCAGTTTTTTATTTTCTAGTTTTTGTTAGAAAGACGTTATCCATCTCCCGGTTTGAATTTCTTTGTCGTCTCTTACGACAGTCACGGGATGATATGGGATGGTGGCTATCCTTACACCGCCACTACACAGTAAACAACGGTTTGACTGGTTAACGGTTAGGCTAGTCCCACATTTTATCTCATTGTGGTGGCTTGTGAAGTATCAACCATTGTCTCAACTAAGTGGCTGACGACCCTTGTTAAGTATCGACCATGACAATTTGATGATTTGTTTTACAATTTCCTTGTGGAATCGATTACCATCAGCGATCTTTCCCGACCGATACGACTTAGGGACCTTCAAGAAAAGAGCCTACTCCTTTTTAAAAGGCCGGCAACGCATCTACAATTCCCCTAGTGTTGCAGTTGTTCGTGGGCGACGGTAGTCACTTATCATCTGGTGAGCCGCATGCTCGTTGCCCCCTCTCCTATAAAAAAAATTCTTTTAATTTTTTTTGAACGTAACTGAAATCATTTAAGTACGTGTTTTATGCCAATTTTAGTTTAGCTTGTATTTCAAGGTTGTATTTTTTTTCAAATCTTTCTTTTTTATAAACCTTCAATACATTGTATTTCAGGAAAATGAAAATCAAATCTTTTTTCCTTGCGTCTGATTTTTTGGGTAAATTCTTGTGGTAATTTGTAGTTATATAGGGAAATATACAAGAGTCCCTATAATTTATTTGTATTTTATGTAAGCAATATATTTGAATATTTTTTATATATATTTTTTCAGGATTTATGGTCACTGTAACCCATATTTATCCTTGTGATAGTGGTTGCATTTGATGTCCGGAGTTGCACGCGATCACTAGTGATGTGCTACATTATCAAGTTATCGATTAAACAGAAAAATATCGGTTACAACGGCATTTTCATTTACAGCACGAAACTATACAAAAAGATAATTAAAATAAAACAAAATTGCTTTATTAAATAAAAAATATATTAACTTTTGAATACGTTCTCAGTTATAGAAAACACACACAGGTGTTTTTTATTTAAACATCACGATGTAAATGGTTGTTCTTGATGCTTAATTTATTTTTGCCATTAATTGTTTTCTTTAAGGGAATGCCTTAGTTTTCTTTATAATCTTGTCATTCCAGTTTTGGTTACTAACTATCTTTAGTAAGTTGCTTCAGGATTAATATTATTAAAAAACAAAATATTTACACACATAAGAATGTTACTCGATATATCATGTTAACCCTTAGGGATGACAACGCATCCGCATTTTGATTTTTAATCGAATATAGATGTAGCTGTCTATGGGTCAGTCAACCAGACTGTGTGCTCGATTGTGAGTTAAAAGGTTTTTACGATCCGTTGAAGTTAGTTAAAGTTAAAGCCTATATATGATAAATGGTGCCTGCGATACGTATTGACTGCTTATTATCAGTTGGTTGGGCTTAGCGTCCAACTCCACTTTTAAATAACATGCTGGTGGTGTCATTTGATATTAATATTAGGTGTCCTGGATACTTTCTTTTCTATTATTAAATTTCATACTTTTTTACGAGGAAATAAAAAAATGCCATCTTTCTTGGTACTTACTCAGATGGTTAGCGCGGAGTCGTGGTAGCTCAGATGGTTAGCGCTCGGTGTAAGCTTCACAGTACTCCAGCAACCCGGGTTCGATCCCCGCCGGCACCAATGAAATTGTTAATTGCAATTTTATGTGCTGATTTACCACGTGCTCGGTGGTGAAGGAAAATATCGTGAGGAAGCCTGCATGTCTGAGAAATAAGAAAAAATATTTCGGAGACATGTGAAGTTCGCCAACACGCATTGAGGCAGTGCGGCGGACATTTCCTTGCCCTAAAACCCTCTCAGAAATGAGAGGAGGCCTGTGCCCAGCAGTGGGACGTAAATAGGCTGCAACTTTACTTTATTTTACTATACGGCGGGGAGTAGGGCTGGCTATATAATAATTTTAGTTTTTAGTTTTTATTGTAATTGATATTGTATATTTTTTATATAAGTACATAAATAAATGAACATAATATCTATTTATTTATATAAAAACTTTATTGATTATACAATGTTAAATTGGCGGACTTAATGCTTTTAGGTATTCTCTACAACTAATAAATACTTAAGCAATAATACTTAAAATAATTAAGCAGGTGCCATATGGCATGAAAATGTTATATACATAAAAGTAAATATTATATTATACATAACATTCATATAAATGCACTTAAACATATATGTTACTACAAATAACCTACATTATATATTCTATGCCTGTTAAATAGTATTCACATTTAAATAATACATAATACACACATTTTAAGCATACTTACATAAAAACATAATATATATTATATAGATACATAACATCAACCCATACATAGGCAGAAATATTTAAGAAAGTTAGCCACTGTAAGAAGAAAGGTAGTGATCTGACACCGTTCTCTTAAAGGTAGCAACAGAAGTCGGTTTCCTGATATGTAGAGGTGATTAATTGCAAAGCCTAAGTCTACCTGATGATAAGTGGATGCTGTGGCACATAGACATATACAGTTTTCCTTAATTAAGAATCAAAATGCAGATACGTTGTCGCCCCTGAGGACTAAAATGGAATGCCTCTTTTCCAGTAAAAAGGGTCACCGGTTCTCTACACTCACCATACGAAACTTTAACATCAAGCTGCTATTTTTTGCTGGTACTCTGTGTGAACGTGGTCCTTCCCCGGTCGAGTTGGCCCATTCCTGATACAACCATAGTATAGCTGCAGCGTGGGTCTACCACGTATAAACCTTAAGGCCTTAGTGGTGAAAGACTGAGATATAAATTTGGTACGGCGAGGGAAATACATAAGATATTATCTTCGGCAGATCGGTGAATCAATAAAACTCAAAGTGTATAGATTAGGAAATACTTTATTTGCACCACGCCCACAGTACGGACATGATCTCAACGCTTAAAATAATAAAATAGTATTTAACCATTATTTACAACGCATCCAAGAGCACCCAGCTTACCATCCGTGACCGTATGAGCCCAAAGACAGGTATTTCTGGATGACAGGCTGGGCATAGGACTCTAAAACTGGTGCTGAATGGACGATGGGTTGAGGGATAATGGCCGGAGCAGCGTGGACAACAGGGGCGGCCTGGATAACAGGAGCGGCATGGATCACAGGCCGTGCTACGGAAACTGGGTGGATTACCTGAAATTCAATATCCAATATTAATTGATTGAGATTGTTGCTATTTTTATATAAGGTGGATTGTGTGGTCACTTGTGACCCTTGTGAAAGCCGTGGTAGCTCAGATGGTTAGCGCTCGCTATAAATCACAGAAACCCAGCGTAAAATAGCAGCTCAACGCTGCTGTGTTTCGTATGGTGAGTGTAGAGAACCGGAGACCCTTTTTACTGGCTAAGAGGCATTCCATCTTAATCCTCACGGGTGACAAAGCATCTGCATCTTGAGTCTTTATTGAGGATAGATGTAGATGTCTATGGGTCACAGTAACCACTTACCATCAGGTGGACTGTGTGCTCGTTTGTCACCCTATCCTATAAAAAAAAATTTCACAGCATGCGAGCAAACCGGGTACGATCTCCGCCCGCACCAGTAAAATCGTTAATTGCAATTTTAAGTGCTGATTTACCACGTGCTCGGCGGTGAGGGAAAGCATTGTGAGGAAACTCGCATATCTGAAAAATAAGAAAAAAATATTTTGAAGACATGTGAAATTCGCTAACATGCGTTGAGGCAGAACACCGGACACTTCCTTGCCCTAAAACCCACTCAGAAATGAGTTTTCCGACAGATGGCGATGTATACATCTTGTTTACAAAACGTAAATATCTATATACTATAATATAATAAAGCGAAAGAGTTTTTTTTTTGTTTAAACGCGCTAATCTCTGGAACTACCGGTCCGATTTGAAAAATTCTTCTTGTATATTATAGCCAGATTCATGTGAAATAGTATAGGCTATCTAGCATTAAACTTTATTACTCAACTAGCCTTAAATATGGATATTTGTTAAGCAAGTCAGAAGAAAAAGCACTCCCGAAATGATTTATCTGCGTACGCTGGTGTTATTGTTAGGGATACGTAAATACAATGTTCTAGAAAAATATAGACCGTTACTTCGTCTAAAAAAAGTCCACGATACCATATGTCTATTTCTTATACATAAGCCATAATTTGGTATTTTGTGACAAAAAATATTGAAAATTTAAAAGTGATTTATGAGCGTTATTATTAGGCATGGCCTATTTATGATTACGAACGAAAGTTACTTCATCATCAAGAAATTTTATGAAGATAAACTTTGTCCTTTATACCATGTCATTTGGACGCATAGTTAAAGAGATAATGTAAAATTAAAATAATTCAATACTTGGTTGGGCGCGCAAACGACGCTTAAACCCTAGCCGTTATAAAATGCTAGAACTAGGTCATGTCGCGCACCTCGGACACATTGTCACATCCGTGTAACAAGTGTAACGGTTAAGGCGAAATCTCCTTACAACGGTAGAGGATCAGGTCCAGCAGTAGATTTTTACGGGCTTACGATGATGAAGAGAATAAAAAAAAATTGTTCTCTTATTTGATATATCTCTACTATTGTGTGTAAAAAGGAGTTGGCCAGGCTTGATTTTATTAAAAGAAGGAAGGCGTACCCGTTGGAAGGAAGAGTAACTGGTTGCAGCAGGCTTAGCGATGGCCACGGGGGCTGCGTGGACAATGGGCGCAGCGTGGACAACGGGCGCAGCGTGGACAACAGGCGCTGCTACGGCATAGCTTGGCTGTTGAATGAAGCTAAGCGAGGACAGCTGGAAAAATTAAAATTATCTGTAATATTTTGATCGTCAAATGAAGCGTTTGATTTTTGTGACTTACTAGTACTGTATCACTTACGTCATGATCCCATCCTCCTAAAGAACCACCGGACCAACCAAGAGAGAGACCACCGGGTTTGGGTTTGGCCGCGACCACCGCGAGGAGAGCGAAGAATACCTGGAATTATTATTCAAAATATTTAGAATGTTCCAATTTCTTATATCAATCTATCTTGTTTAATATTACTTCTTTGTAGCAAGAAGTTTATAAGACCTCTTTTCGTTTCTTAGAAAAAGAAGGAATGTTAATATATTGTCGCGATTATTACTATTTTAAGTAAAACAAAAATTTCAACGAACCAAATAATATTTTTGAATAAATAGTTATTATATTCTCATCTCTAATAGTAAACCCTCTTTTGTGAAACTTATTGAATGGTTTATTATTATTACATTATCACATATTATATTGTCATAAAATTATAATATTATAAATATAAACACAATCTATATAAATAATATTATTATTTCGGCTATTGTCCACCGCGGCGATATTATAATATATTTCTAATTGATATATATTCCTAAGCCATCGGTGGAGTTAGGCATCCAAAGATGTGTTATAAATACATTTAAAATGTACTTTTAAAAAATAACTAAAATTATTGATTACATGCATCTGTTGCTAAAGGCAACGCTTTAATCATTTGAGAATTACACTAATGGATAGATATTTTAAAAATCTATATTATTCACGTTTTATTTAATTTTTAAAGTTCGTTTCTCTTTTTTAATTAAAATAATTCCAATAATTGTGTGAATTTTATGATAAAGCGGCGTACGTCTAAAGAGGGAACGAATGCTCAAGGTTACTTGGTCAGGGTAACGCCTTAATAAGGCCGATTTTTGAATTAATCCCTTCAGCCACTTGCCCAAACCTAACTTGTACAGATAATCGTCCATATTTTACCGATTATATTATTATTATTGTTTATTATAGTCGGGTTATCCATGGTACATAAGGAATAACTAGTGTGGAGATTTTATAGCTTATGTTTGAAACGCATTAAAAAAATATTGAATATTATTAATACACAAAACTAGATACTATAATAAATTTTATATTATATAAAATGTTAAATACTCACGATTGATTTCATGATTATTGAGTACCGGTGCTACTGAAGTGAGAATGTAGTATGATCAATTATCGGCGCGTACGCAGCTTATATACTAAATTTGGTATTTTCAAATAGACCACAAGACCCGCCGGGTTAGGCTACACATCCTGCGACCACTTAGATGTCGATATGTACGTATCACGAAATGCATGCCTAAGGGCGTTGCTACACTGGGTTATTTAGGTCGTTGATAGATTGAGAGATATAGGATAGTTGTTCAGAAATAACTAATTGTTTTATACCTTTATACTCGTATGTATTTTCTTTTCCTTATGTATGTGTTGTATTACTCGTATTTTAGCCCCTGTAATAATTCTAGCCTATTTTTGTGTATTTTACAAAAGATATAGGTATATGTTATTTACTTATTGTATGTTGTTATTAACTTTAAACAAACTGCCGCTAATTTTCACCATGCCGTGGGTTGACTGGTATACGTAGATCACTCAATAAGTTTTGAGATTGAATGGATGGAACGCATCCGTGTTATATGTTTCTAAAAAGCAAATTTATTTAAAAATATACCTCCATAAGCCAATTGCTTAATATAAAAAAAACATAGTTCTTTTAATTTGACAAAACGCTACAATGATGGCAAACAAATATCTCAATGATCTAGGTGTACTACATATAGCAGCTTCTGATAATGTGTTTTCTCAGTGAGAACATCTTCCAAGAGACCCCTAGCTTTGCATGCTGCTTGATAAGTGTTTTAAATAACACCTTCTTCAGTTCTCAGGTGTGCAAAAGATGTTGGACCTTTTACAACATGCAGTAACATTCTCAAATAAAAGCAATCACTGTTGTTAGGATGAATCACATAGATCCTCCCAAGAGCATCCGTTTTTTTAACTCCAGGGAAACCGTCGACTACAGTGCCTTGCTTTCGTCATTGAAAAGTTTTTGAAGTCTGATTCCATGTATAGTAACTTAGAACTTAGTCATATGTCAGTGTTTTCGCGAAGTCATCTTGAGGATATAACTAGAATAATGCTTTTAATGTTTTATCCCGTAGATTATTAACAACTTCTTGAATATTATTCTCAGTGAAATATACTCTTTGTCCATTTTCTAAACAAACTGCAAAATCGTGGGAGCCCGGTCATGCACACTGAATGACAAAATCCTCCATACTGCTTCAGAGCTGCAGATGTAACGTCCACATTGAAATTTTTCTACATCATTTGGATATTGTATGCTGAAAGTGGCCTGATTACTAACTTTATTTATATATTAGTAGTTTAAATGCTAGCAATTCTTATCTTTTAGTGTAAACTTTTCTTTCCAATTTACCAAATATTATATAAAAAAATTTATTAAATAAAATTTTAATTATCTGTATAATCAAATACACAACATAAATTACATTCTAAGAAATGTTCACGGTCTTAGTGGTAAAACTTGTTTTTTTGTTCGAATGAAACAACATCTTATGCATCCAAAATCTATTGATTAAAAAAATTTGTACTACCCGAAACTTTAATCTTAAGGATAAGATAATAAGTATGTACCATATTTTGTTTTATTAATAAACATTATTATTATTATATTTAATAACATATTGAATTGATTTTATTGAACTGCACAACTCCACGTTGATGTGGGCGTCGAAAATTTTTAAAAGAGGCGCGTTATAGGGAACAATTCATCGGTTGTCAATAAGATATGATAATAAGATAAGAATAAGATTTCGGACGTTGGCAGTTTGTCCACCCTAGCTAACTAGCTACCACCTAGTAGCTTGAAAAAATTTTATTTTTTCTTTTACTCTTGGGAACAAAAAGAAATCACAAGAACTTAGAGTTTTAACACCAGAATCCTCAATAGATGCTTTTGTTCTAAGGGAGATATGTGAAGAGGTGTTATCGTGATGCAGCATGATTCCCCGAAGCCCGGTCTTTGGTCTTCTCTCCCACACAGCTTGAAAAGCTTTGGGTAATGCAACTGTTTTTAAATTCAGAGTTGACTGACCTACAATTTTCCAGCATTGTCGTCGACAAATGTCCGCTCCACGAAAAAAAACTAGCCACCATTTTTTTGCCGACGTTGCGAGGTCTTTGCAGTTTTGTCGGTAACTGTCCATCTGAGTAGACCCATACCGATGATTGCCTTTTATTTTCCGGATCATATTGATAGATCCATGTCTCGTCACCAGTAACGATTTCTGAAACACGCCTAGATGCCCTGTTTTGAAAACGTAGACGTTTTTCATGGCACGTATCCACACGAGTCTGTTTTTTGCTTTCGGAGAGCAAACGAGGGATCCATCGGCAACAAAGCTTCCTCACTCCAAGATGTTGATGTAGGATGGTATGATTGCTTTTTGATGTCTGTATATGTGATTATATTTTCTGTAGTCCATACATTTTCTGCCGTTACTGCTGTTTGCAGGGCCTCGGTAATTTGGTCATTTTAAGATTAATTTTACCCCTTTTGAATTCAGCAAACCACCTAAAAATTGTTGCGCGTGATGGAACTGAGTCCTTTAATGCTGATTGTAACCGTTGTAAACTTAATTGTTCGGTTAAACCAAATTTAAAATGATAATATAGGTTCTAATTGCAATCATCATATAATATATTAATAATCATGAAAAATTTAAACATATACCTAGGTTAGTTTCTCTTTGTTGTCTCTTACGATACCCACGGATCAGGGTATCGTAAGAGACAACAAAGGGAAACTAACCAGGAAATGGACACCGTCTTCATAATGACAATTAAATATAAAATACTGCTATTACCAATACGCCTGCCAAGTGTATGTATATACTATGGTAAATATGCCCCATATGAAACATTCTATGGGGACGCCTACACTCAGCAATGGAGTTTGATAGGCTGAAACAGCAACAGTATATATACGGTGTTTTTTTTTTCAAATTAGATTAGAATTAAAAAAAAATAACTTTAACTTAAAGTTTGAAATTTTAACAAAACTACTTCAATAACGAGATTTTATTTACATAACGTGTAGTTAAAATAGCATATGATGTATTATGATGTGTTATTCCACAATTATTTACATACCACATATAGAATATTCGATGACCACCAAATATTACAAGTGGTACATGATTAGATACCGATTAGACCGATATTTACCTACCAGTATTAACAAGCTTTCACAAAATATATGTATGTATATCCAAACCTGGAAACTAATAATTTTTCTTTTAGCCACTATCAAAACCTGCAATCAAGACGTTTACAGTCTGACAATATAAACAAAAATAAAATAAACGGCTTGTAAAATTTAATTGCTTGAATAAACAGAAAGATTTGGAAGAGTTATTAGATTACATTCTTACATGCTTTACTATAATTTGTTTAAATTAAATAATAATAATAAACCATTCAATAAGTTTCACAAAAGAAGATTTACTACTAGCATTGAGAATATAATAACTATTAGGTCCTTACATATGAAATTAGCGTTTTGTCGTACTGACCACTTAGATCTGAAATATCTCCTCTTTGGTTAAGAATTCTAAATTAACATTTATAAATTCATTTAACTGGTACATTTGAGCTAAGAAAACAGTCATTCATATGTTTTTTCCTCATTATTTTTTTCTTTGGCATCGCTTATTACCGCACAATGGAAAACATGAAATATTTGTATATTTACGAGTACGAATTCTACCGTGGCACCAGTGCTGCAGAAACAGCTCGAAGGCTTAATGATGTGTACGGCGCTGGTGTCGCAAAAGAAAGCACGGTACGTTTTTGGTTTTAATGTTTTCGTTCTGAAAATTTCGACCTTCAGAACCAACCCCGTGGACGGCCGGAGACCAAAGTGGGAAATAAAGAATTAAAGGCCATTGTGAAAGCGGATCCATCACAAAGTACTTCAGAGATAGGTGCAGGCTTCGGGATAAGTGATATAACTATATTAATTCACTTGAAGCAAATCGGGAAAGTAAAAAAACATTAACGATGGGTGCCTCATGAATTGAGTGAAGCGAACTTGCAAACACGCGTCGACTGCTGTGTTA